CGAGGCGGAGCCTGCGCGGCCTGCCCGCCTGGGCCCCGCCTCGGCCGCGCCCCCCGCCCACTCCTTTCACTTTCAGAGAAAGCGCGGGCCTCCAAGGGCCCTTGCCCGGCCGGGAAGCTCCTTGTTGCTCCTCCAGGTGGCCGGGAAGCCCAGACCTCGTGGACACAAAGCCAGGGCCTGGCCCTCACGGCCCCTCTGTGCCCGCCCTCGAGGAGACGGGAGGGGTCGCCCTGCCCCTGGCCCTACAGTCTTGGAGATGGTCCTGCTCTCGCTCTCCCGCCCTGTCCCTCCGGGTCCTTCCCGCGTTGCATCCATCCTGGGCCAAGGTTTCCAGGTTTCCGGGCTTTCCTACGCGTCCGGGGCCCCTTCAGCACAGAATGCAAGGCCATCAGCTTCCCGAAGAAGCCTCACCCCAGGGCGCGCGCACAAGTGAGGACTCCGTCCCGGGAACGACCTGAGGCTTCCTCCCCCAAGCTCCCCACTTCCCAAGGGGCAGAGAACAAGGTCGGGGGCGGGGCCTGAATCTCTCCTTGTGTCCTTGCGGAGTCCTGGGCAGCATCCCTTGGCCACTGCCTGGTGCGGGGGTGGGGATGGGGGGCCGGGGGGTGCTGAGCCCTTCTTCCTCCTTTCCCTATGGAGTTCGGAGCTTGGAGTCTGCTGTATGACCATAAGCAAGTCATCTCACCTCTTTGAACTGCTGATTCTTCTCCGCAGGGCTGTTGTCCACCTCACAGGATTGCTATGAGAATACGATCAAATGAAAGATGTAAAATCTATAAAACGTTAGAATAGTTTTAGTGTGGGTGGTAGAAAGAGCCAGTCTCAGGTTCGTCACACTCTAGACGTCATCTTAGGCAGTCTCTTCCCTTTGTAAATTTAGGAACCCCCCCCCCGCCCCACCTGGAGCTGTGGCTGTGATGAGAAGAGAACCCTGATGCTGGTAAAGCATTTCCCACACTGCTGTGTGCTCATCAGTGGCCTCGCAGTGCTCGATCTGCAACCACTTGACAAGTTAGTGGTCAGCTAACTGCAAGGCTGCTTTGAGTAGAAGTTCGTATTTCACAACATCTCTTGTCTTCCCCCAAATGTCACAGGTGAGGATCCCTCCTCAGGTGGCCGGTGCCTCAGGATTGTTGGGGGCCCTGTGGCAGGATGCCCCAGAAGGATTGCCTTTGATACTGATGGAGGCCGAAAGGAGAAACTTTCCTTCCCTTATCTCCCCTAGGCCAGATTCAAGGATGGCCCAGAAGGAGAGAAAGGGAGTATTCAGAGAGAGAAAGCGAAGCTTCAGCAGAGCACAAAGGAGAAAGATCCCAGGGGAATTGATGAAGAAAGTCTGAGTGTGGGAGGATGAATGGAGGGGAAGGAGGGAATGCAGGAGTGAAAGAAAGAAGGAAATACAGGAGTTGGAGTATTCAGGTCCTCTGGGGAGAGCCTGGGAAATCACATGGCGACCTCCTCTGGCGTACAGGGGTCTAGAGGAACCTGGGTGTATGTGAGGGGTGTACTCTAGAGCCTGACGTCCCAGAAGCACCCATGTCTCCTGCACTCACCTCCCTCCCTCTTTGGGGGCTACCCTGGCCTTTGGTAGGACTGGAACTGCCCTCAGGGCAGGGGAGGGCTAGGGGCAAATCCAGGGTGGGGAGAGCCAGCAAGGGCCTGCCAGAACCAGAAATGTGGGAGGAAAATGAGAGGAGGGAACATGTTTTGTGCACCTGTCAATGTTTGTAAGCCAGTCCATGTCCGGACAACGTTGGAGGCACAAGCGAGGCAGGAGCTGGGTCTCCGTCCCGGCTGCCAAGAGAAAACTCAGGGGCAAGTCCTTTTCTCCTTGTACTGGGCACCTTTTCTCCTTGTACTGGGCACCTGTCCTAAGGCCAGCAACCGAAGAAGAGCTCTTTGCCATACTGCCCGGGTATCCCTCAGTGGAAAGGTAAGGGCAAACCTGGGAATGGGTATTGAAATGAGAGCTCATTTCAAAGACTTTCAGAGTGGGAAAGGCCTTTAGATGCATCCTAGTCTCCTCAAAATACAGGAGAAGTAACAAAGGAGTTAGATGACTCAGTCCCAGGAGGTTAAGATCTTTGCACAGGGCCACAGAGCTAGTTGGTGGAAAAGCCAGAGAGTGTCTTGGCTAGGTCCCCTGAGTTCTATTCCTGTGCCATGCGTACTTTCTTTTATTAGCATCTTGTAGTTCAGTCTCTAGTTCCAATGAAGGTAGAGTCTGCCTCCCACCTACCCCAGGCAGAAGGCATAGGGGCACATATTAGGAGACAAAGTCAGGGGGCTCTCCTCTTAGTTGAGCCAGGAATGACCTTTCAAATTCTGGAATCCTGTTGTTTGTGCCTCAGTTTCCACAGTATTTGAGGCTGTGAGTAGATGGCTATGCATAGAACGTAGAGCACTGTGGAGAAAATCAGACTACTATGTAGATGGAGGAATGAGGAAAGGGGGGTGGGGGTGGGGGCAGAGAGGAATGTTTCAAGGTTTTGATGGTCATGAGGCGGCTGATCTGAAGGCCATGCGAAGCTCTCTGCCTTATGCACAAGGCCAGTTATGTGTTTGAGGAGGAAACTGATCTTTCTTCTTCTTGTGCATCTCAGTTCAGGGATCCTCCTGTACCCTAGAGGCCTGCTTCCTGGAGTGGCTGAGTCTTCACCCCTCTCCATGGCCTTCAGGATTTATTGGGCCTGGGAGCTACATTCCTCCTAGGGGTAACAACACTGAACACAAAAGCTGGGAAAGGGGGAGGCCTGGAAAATGGGGTGTGTGAGGTGGGGGTTTCCTGGGGGCCTGGTTTTATTCCCCAGCCTGCCTCATTTAGCTCTGCCCCTTGTCCCTCCACTCCCAGGGCAGCAGCACCAACGGCCCCAGGGGCAGGAGTAAAGTCATTGCTCACCATCCCCGCCAGGCAGAGTGCCGGTCTCTTCTTCCCAAGACCCACAAGCAGGGAGGGAAAAAGGATGGAGCGCAGCCTTTGCATTCTGGTCAACAACTCCGAGACATGCTCTGTGGGATTTGGTGTCTTCCAAGGGACTTTCTGATCCCAAGGTTCCAACGTTTTGTGACAATACCTGTGATTCATTTGTTCATTCGCAGAGCAAACTTCCACTGAGCAGCTTCCTCAAACCAGGCATTGTGCTAGGTGAAAAGGACACCGGAATGAGTGGCTCCTATAATGACCTCCCTTCCTTCCTTGGAGTGGTGGTGTATCACTTTACGTTGTCTTCTGGAGAAAGGAAACCAGAAGGGATCCAAGCAGAAAACAGGCTGCTAAATGGCTCTGTTTCCAAGGGACTGTCAGGGAGACCTTGCCCTTTCAGCTGTCCCATGCATCCCACCCACTCCCCAGCCCCCTCAGTCTGATGCCCTTCTCTGCCCAGAGTATACTGGAGAGGGCGCTGGAGGGCTGGCCAGAGCCAGGGCCCAATGGCAACTTGAGGGGAGGAGGTAAGAATTGGAGGTCTCCTTCCTCCTGGGTAGGGGCATGAAAGGATGTTTTCACCTGACAACCCCAGTCCCTTTGCCTTGCACCTGGGTTTCTCTTCCTCCCCGTGCAATCTCTCACTCCATTATCCATAGACCTGGTGGGAATATTCTGGGTTTGTGAGGTAGGATAGTTTAGCAGGGCTAGGGATCCAGCAGCGTTTGCTGACCCTTCACCATCTGAATCACTCTGGTTTAAAACAAACAAAATGTGCCACCACGCCTGTGTATGCGCAATAAGAACATTTTCTCTCCTGACACACTTCAGAAACAAGGTTTCCCATCCCTCCCAGGAGCCTGTGTTCCTGTGGTTCTCCCTCCTCCCTCTCTCCAGAACTCAGAACCCACAGGATCTCTCCCAGTGGCCAAGGGGAGGCAGAGGGGACCGAGAACATCTGAGGTCAAGCATGCGGCTGCCGGTCCAAGGGACTGTTCTGAGAACGCCCGGCCTCCGTCCCCCAAGTCCCCACCAGGGCACCTCCCGGAATCTTGTACCCGATGGCGTGGGTGCCTCCCCTAATTCCATTGGTGATATCTCTGCCGGCCTGACTTGCACCCCGGGTGCCCGGCGACCGAGTCCGCAGAGCATCCGGTGGCCGGGCGAAACGAGGAGCCCCCGGGGGTGGGGGCAAGCCGCGCGCAGGCCCCAGGTCCGGGGAGCTAGCGCCGGCTCCGCCTCCGCGCCGGCCTTGGGGGTTGAAAGCTGGGGCCGCGCTCCCAAGTCCGGAAAGTCGCCGGGACGCGCATCCCGCTGGGGTCCACGCCTGGAGGAGCGCGCGCACGTGCAGGCGGCGGGGCCCCGAGTGGGCGAGCAGAGGCCGAGGCTGTGGGCTCGTCCGGGCCCCGCGGCGCACCCGCCCCGGGTGAGCGGGCCGCTGCCATCTGCCGCAGCCGCCTTTCTCGCCGTCTTGGGTCGAACGCAAAGGATGGGCAGCCTGGGGTCTCAGACCCGCGGGCGCTGCCGTCTGGGGACAGGGTGGGACGGACAGGTGGGATCGAATGCCGCAAACGCAGCGGCTCCACAGGACATCCGCTTGCCCCCTTCCTCCCCCCACATTTATTGGGCGTTAACTAAGTGCCAGGTGGCGCTGGGTGCTGGGGATACGCGGCAGACACAGTTAGCTTCCAGGCTGAGGGTGGAGACTCATAAATAATAACAGTACCGCGCTAGGGAGAGCCAGCAGAAGCTGCTCCCAAACCCCAGTGGGAGGGAAGATCAAGGAAGGCTTCCGGAGGAGGTAACCGTTGGGCTGAGCGCTGAAGGGTGAGGCGTTCTCCAGGGGAAATGGATGGAGACAGACCAGTGCATTCCTGCTGAGAGGCGAATGTGGGCTGAGCAAGATGCCGTCTCCGCGCACTTTGCAAAGTACGGTCACTGACAGCTAGAAAAGAAAATCTTTTAAGTAGGCTCCATGGGGCTAGAACTCTTGACTCTGAGATCAAATGTCGGTGGCTTAACTGACTGAGCCACCCAGGTGCCTCATAATAACTTGGTATTTTAAAGAGGGTGTTGAGATAGTCCCCGGGGGAAGGATCAGAACATTTTGTTAGTCTTCTTTCCCCGTACTTTCCGGTTTGGTACTGTTTTATGTTTGAATGACTCTTGGTGGTGGTGGGTAGGTAAAGCCTCACCATCTTCCTGAGCCTGCTGGGGCGGTGGTGAGGTGGGGTGGCCTTCCAAGCCACGTTCAGATTGGCCAGTCTGGAGAGGGCAGCCCAAAAAACCGCTCTGTGCCTCTGGACTTCCCCCCGGCCAGCCCCAGTGCCCACCGGAGTTTCTGGGCCAAGTGAGTGCTCCACTCTGGCTGGTCTCCTGCCGCCTACACCGCGTCCCTCGACCTGCTGCCCACTCCATCTCGACCCCTGCCACTCTGGCCCCCGGAGTCTCTCCTCCCAAGCCCAGCAGCCTCTGCTCTAACAACAGCTTCTGGGGAAAGGTACACTTAATCTTTGCCACGATCCTGACAGATCCTATGTTAAAGATGGGAAGTTCGTGGCTCAGCGGGGTTAACTAGCCCAGCCCTAGGTAGTAAGTGGCAGAACTGGGATGTGAACCCTGTACTGAGCCTGCAGTGCCTCGTGACTCCTGACTCTCCCCCTGGGCCCAGGGATCCCGAGATGTGCCTGAGCTGCAGTAGCTAAGCCCCTCTGCAGGGCCAAGAAACTCCACCTCCAGGTTCTGCGCAGCCAGGAGGCCAGGCTGCCCCTTGGCCCTCTTACAGTGTTGCTGCTCCCTCCAGCCCAATGCTTTCCTCCTCAAGGGAATTCAGAGGGCCCCAGTGGTCAGGGAAGTCACGCAAAAACTCCACGCTAGGGGTTGATGGTCTCCTGGCTCCCAAGAATTGCTGTACACTGGCGTCCAGGACTACCCAAGGAAAGCCCCCCACACCAGGGCCCTAAGATTAAGTTGACTGACCCTACACCTCTCTCCCCTCTGCATGTGGCAGTCAGCTTTCTTTCTGCCTCCAGGTATGGCTGCCCCAGGGCACTAGATCCTGGGAGACGCACAGATAAGGCTGTTCTCTGCCAAGAATCCCTGCTCTCGAGGGCGTAGGGAGCCCCCTGTTCCCAGCAGTCAGGTAGTGGGAGTGTTAAGGAGTTGGAGAAAACCTCACTGGGCACAGTTGCGGGGTGAGCCCCAGGGACCCCCCCCCTCCCAATACCAGAGGCAGGCTTGGACTGGGCTCCTACCATTTTGATTGTTACCTCCCACCTTCCCATCTCTAAAGGGGAGTAGATGATCCAGGATGTTGCTTCCTAAAACATGGTCAGGAAGGTCTGAGACATCTCCTCAGTGAGTGGGGGGTGTGGAGCCCTTACAAATCACCCTAGTGTGGGAGACTGAGGAAAGGATTCTAGTATTTCCTCCACAGCCTCCAGTCCCTAGGCTCCCCCTTCACGGTGCCTAGGTCAGCTGAGGGCTGGAAGCAGCAGCCTCTCACTGGGATTAGGCAGTGTTATCAGGGTCCTACCAGATTCTCTTGAAGCTGGTGGGTATCTTCCAAGGTAGGAAGTAGAGCAGGCCAATTGGAGGGCTCCCTGGCTCTAGACAGCTTGCAGAGAAGCTTCTGGGGAACTAGGCTGCTGAAGAGTTGAAACAGCCACTTTCACTTTGAGGAGTGTCAGGCTAAGAGAAGGGGAAGGAGGAAAACCAAGCAAAAGAGAGGCTCTCTTGGACTTTCAAAACATGACTTTGAGAGTCGCCACTTGGGATGAAATCCTTGGACCACATCTGATCCCCTAGTTCAAATGGTGGAAAGTTTATTTACATATATCTGTACAGTTTGAGTGACAGGTCAAGACTCCAATGAAGCAAAGAAAACAAAAGCATTCTTTTTGAAGGGAAGTTGTAGGCAGTAGACTTTCCCTGCACCTGTCAGGAGCCAAGACAGACAGACAGACCTATACATCATGAGCTAGGCTGATGGACATTGGCCTTTTTGCTTCTTGGAAGAAGTGAAAAATGTACAAAACAGCCTTAGGTGCCGCACCCTTCAACACTGAACCACATGGAGGGGGGTGCGTGTGGAGTAGGGAGCCACGGCAGCAACTCCGCAGCCTAAGAAAGACCGAGAACTGCCAAGAAACCCAGCTGGGGTGGGGGCTTTGGGGGAGGGGGACCAAGCCAAAGTCTTACGCCTGGTCAAGATCTCGGTTCAGAGGCCTTGCCTCAGTGGAGATTGGAGACAAGTTCTCGGTCCTGACTCCAGTCACCGAGGAGACTACTCAGGAGATATGCTGCTTGGCCTCTCTCCTAGCCGTGTGCTGGCGTCTCGGAAGCAAGTTTCAGCAGCTGCGTGGGGGGAGGCAGGGGCAAAGTGGCTACAGTGTGATGCAGTTTTAATAAAAATTTTATTACACAGCCATAATGTAATCGACACTTCTCCAAATCCAAATGATACTAAATACAGATCTACATGGTGGATCAGAATGACTCCAGCAAATTATATGGATTCTATAATTTCATGTCTTTGAAAACCAGAAAGAAAAAAACAGTCCAGGTTTGTCATGATAGGAGAGGTCCCAGCAGCCTCTAGGACTCTGCCGGAGTCCGGGCAACGGTTCGCAGTCTGTGATTCCACATTTACACAAGAGTCTGTAAAGGGTTTCGGTCAATGGACTGTTCAAGTATAGATGATTTTAATGAGTCCATCGCCCACCTTTGCCCAACCGAACTGCGACACAGCCTACCGCAGAGCTGTGTTACAGTCACAGTTCACCAAGTTTACAGTCACAATACTTTTTAAAAAACCATCCATTGCTGCTTCTTTTTCAAATAAAAAAAGTGTAAACTAAGTTAAAGCAACACCGAGGCTCCACTAAACCCAGAAGAGTCACCAAGTTCATTTTTCTGTTTAAATACAACTGAAGTCCGTGATTTCCCATCATCCCACTTCCTTACGGAAAAGTAGGGTGAAGAAGTACAAAGCGGAGCCTCTAAGTTCCTCTCCCTCTCGTGGGACTCAGCAGCTCTCAGCTGTTTCTTTAGCTTAGTTCTGGGTATACAGAGTCAGCTGTACTTTGTTCTGAAAAGATTTGTTAAATGCCGCTTTTATTTACACTTGGAGCTTTACACCTGAGAATGATTATCAAGCAGTCAGCTTATCTCTTTTCAAACATTTCATAAAGACACACACACTTCTTTGCTGGCTTCACCCTAGCTGCACAACAATATATATGCTTACCATATATATATGTATACACACACACAAAACTGCACATGCTTGGAACATCTGCAACCTAAATCCTTTTTGTGTTCGTTCTCTCCGCATTCACGTTGAATACTTTCTCTTAAAGAAACAAGACAAAGTATTATTCTTTCTGAAACGGCAAAACAGATTCACTAGGAAGAGACACGTACATGGGGTGGGGAGAAGATATAGTCTGTGTTCAGCCACGAAGCTGTGGGCCGTACCCATGGGGTGAGCAAGATGCCTGTGCTGCCCCGTCTGGTACCTGGCCGGGGGCTTCCCTCCCACCTGCCGGGACACAGCCTACAGGGCAGGGGCCACACGGGGTGCTTTCTGGGAGGGG